ATTTAAAAACATAACAAAATTAAAGTGAAAACTGAAATGGCTAATAATACTATACTGTAATTATATATAAATAATACTAAAACACTATGGAGTGATAAAATAAAACTTGAGGTATTAATAGTGGTATAATAACCCGTTTGACTTCTAATATCATAAGATATAAAGGTTAAACTGAGATCAAACCTGAAATCTATTTATGTTTGTGTACTGCTGTATTTAATGTATTACTGTTGTGTTTCTCAATTTTAGTGACTACCTTTTCAAACTGCTCCTCATCGGTGACTCTGGAGTCGGGAAGTCGTGTCTGCTGTTGAGATTTGCTGTGAGTACAGTCACAGATGGGTTGTTTTGTCAGCTTCTGCTGCCAAACATGAATTAAAAATCAACTGAAAACATGCAGTCTGCAAATCATATAGAATTGATTGAATGTATTTTATAGTAGATATATACTTGCACAATGTATTGTAAGCTGGATTATATCCACAAAAGTAAATACGTTTTCATTCTCCTTTCTGTTTGTCTGTGGTCCTTCAGGATGACACATACACTGAGAGCTACATCAGCACCATAGGCGTGGACTTCAAGATCCGCACCATTGAACTTGATGGCAAAACCATTAAGCTACAGATTGTAAGTCCATATATACTCCCTCATAACACCCATTTTTCACAAGCTCTATGACAGCATGACCATTACATTATGATGACCGGCTTTCTTAGGTCAATAGATGAAACTACTGACTCATTAATGGGGCCAAACCTTTCTTTCTTTCTTTCTTTCTTTCAGTGGGACACTGCGGGGCAAGAAAGATTTCGAACCATCACCTCCAGTTACTATCGAGGGGCTCACGGTATCATTGTGGTCTATGATGTCACGGATCAGGTGAGACATCATCAGGAATTCTCCTCCTTTGTTTGGCCTTAATTTAACAAGGCACACTCTGCAGCTGAATTGATGACCATTTTCAAGGCTCAAGGACATTTACCACATTTTTCTGTAGTTCTGATGCTGTGTAAACTGTGCTGATTTCATCCTTAGAAAACCTCTCGCTTGATGATCTGCTTGTCAAATTTGTTATTTTAAGAACATTGTTGATAACACCAGTGTTATTTTAGTATACTTTATACTATTAAAATGTGAATTAATAGTTTGAATTAGCATTTATTTTTATATTTTCAGTTTTAATTTTTTTAATGATTTATATATATTTCTGTTTAACTTAAATT